TGAAACACATATGGGGAAATTCGAACACTTCACTTCTATCTGAAGTTTGTGCTGATGATGTCGTTCAGAAGAACGATGAAAGCTCCACGACCAAACCATCCAGCTCAGAGAACAAAACTCCACCAAAGTCATTATTATTATTATTATTATTGTTATTATATGACATATTCATAAGTAAACACATTGTAATGTTTACCATTCTCAAAGAAACAGATGGTTTCATAAAATCTAATAATTAAACTATAGAATCATATTCGTTTTCAATAGACAATAATGCAAATCATTATTTGTACAAACAATCTCTACTTAAATGTTTCACATCTGTTGAATAATCGAATTCAATTTGTTAGCACGCTCATAACAACTAAATGTTTTTCAATGATACATAATTATTTAATATAAAACATAGAAATAGGTTTGTTTAAAATTAAATTTGATGATTGTTTACTCAATTTGAAATGTTAATTGTTTCATGTTTTCATTAATGTAAGAACAATAATTCAAGCTGAATAAAATATAAATTCAATCTATTTCAATAGTTTACATTAACTATTTACAATCATATGAGTATTGAAACACATAACATAATATTTAATAATTTAATGTGATGATTGAATAACTAGTTTCAAAGGTTATCAGTTTTTTTATTTAAACAAATACATACTATATGTAAGGTTGCTTGAGGATAGAAAGTACGAAGTAATTTTCACAGTTTAAATCTGTTATAACTTGTGACCGCCGATTAGAGGGCAGTGAATTATCAATCGGATCAATGACGCCTAAAACACGTACGAACAGTCTAGAGTCTTGATTGGCCCTGTTTTCCGCCTAGCCCAGCCAGTTAAGTCCAGAACACTAGTCTCAACCTCTGCGATATAAATCATTTATTTTAAACATACTCAATTTATATATCAACCAGACAGACCACAGCGTACCATAAAATAGAAAATAACATTTGTACAATATTTGGCCAACAGGAAAATGACACGTGGAATAAAAATTGACCAATAGGAAAATGATGCCGTTTGAAGTCCAAGGATAGTATTAGAATTAACAGGATAATTTTTGAGATATTTTTCTGAATATCCCAACAAAATCACAAACTGATATTGGCTAAGTCACTACTGAAAACCTGGAAGTATTTGATGTGAACGGAGAAACAAAAAGCCGTGATAAACTACAAAAGCTATTTTTCTGGATGTTATTTCATTTAATTCAAAGCTTGTAGATCAGTAACATTTATTTTTTGTCTTCAGTTCATTCTACAGATCATAAGCTTTCGTTTGATGTATGATTCACTGCCATAGTCTATTTTGTTCTAAAGCTATTGTGATTTAAACGTATTATTTTGTACTCTATTTTCTACGCTAATCCCCAGTTTTAGACATAATTGTATTCTCCTAATTATTGCATGTTGTGGTCGGGTTAGTCGTCTATTTATTTATGTATCTTTTTACACTGATCTGAAATCAGGAACCAGATCGAAATCACGAATAAATCTAGTCGTGTTCCAGTTGACTTGTCTTCTCTCACTCGCGTGCTTGTCAGCCAATCAGGTGATAGAATAGTTTTCTTCTCTCTACCTCGCTTCGAACTCACGCATATTAGCCTCAAGGTTAAGCGGATCAGCCTATCGCGTCAAGAACTTAATCTCTAGATTAGACAAATTATCCTCAGCACTAAAAGTGGTTAGACAGATCAGGGACGTAACAGTATTGAACAACCATTCCACTTTAGTGAGGAACTCCTCAATAACACGCACTCAAGACCTTTGGCCTAGATTTCGAACGCTTAGACTTTAAATCAGTGAGCCGGCACCCAACGGTGTTTATGTCTAACTTCAATCAATTCATGATACCTCCTAAATGTCATCCACTCTATAACGTGAATAACGCAATAAATATTTAGAATTTGTATAAGGCAATATTTATTAAAGCTTTGAAGAAATTATACAAGTTTTAAGAATGAATTCAATAAGTAATCAATCTGAAGTTTAACACATATTAATAGGATACTGTTGAGTTATGTAGATATTTAGAAATACTTTCATTCATATTCATAAGTACACTGAACATAGAGGCATTTTATTCATTTTTTTAAAAGTACAATATAGATGTTCAGATGTAATATAAAAGAGTGACAGATGTAAGTTTTTATTCAATGTATGATTTACATTTACTGGATCAATACAATGTAAACTACAATCATTATATCTCTTTATAGTAGTAGTAGTAGTGTGGTTCGTGCTACTTATATTAATATAAGTAGTATATGATGAGAGTCAGGAGTGTAATGTCTGGCAGCAGAAGATGAGGAAGATCAAGAAAGGAAGAGCGGGAATAGAAAGCAATTAGTATGGAAATGTAAGAACAACGAAGTTCGAGACAATTATTGAACATTTTGCAAATTAAGTATTATAGTATGGTTTTTTATTTTACTAAGTAACTCTGTAATTTTATGCTAAATGTAATTCGATTGTCCCCGCCCGTGTTCTGTTCAGTACAGTAGGTCAGTATATTTTTTCCCATACCCAGGTATTATTATTATCATTAACTAATCATCAAATATATACAGAAATCACATAGATACATGAGTAAAAAACATATAGTTGGTCATAGGTTCAATTATTATCAGTAGGATTGTAAATTACAATAGTAGGGCATAGATACTAACTTTTTAGTGAAGGTATGATACTTCTTCTTTTTTTAAAAGTCTCCTTCCGCTAACTCTTCTTGTTCAATTTAGTGTTAGTCAATAAATTTTTTCTTGTTTTTGGGAGAAACAACAAACAAACACAGAACGGAAACAAATGACTTGAATTATATTGTTTCAATGATTTGTTACTTAGGTTCAATTATTGTTTTATTAAATTAACTTAAAATAAAGAATAAATGGAGCATATTTTCTTTGTGTGTGTGTGTGTGAGTAAAGATTGATCATTTAAATTTCCTACATTCTAAATTTTAAAATGTAAATGTAATACTCTAATATTCACTTGGTGTTTTTTTACTTGTATATTGAATTTATACTTCACCCCCTTGCAAAAGCAGGTGGCTATCATGACTCAGTAGCTAAGTGAGTAATGCGATGGTGTTTGAAGCGAACAGTACTAGGTTCGAGTTCCGGAGTGAGCATCAACACTGGGACGCGAGCAAAACCAGCTGACGAGTCCCAAATGGAACGAAACGCGCGTCCTGGATTCCATTGCTAGCCACTATCTATTTATGCGTAATACTTTTATGTTTTATAAAACTAGTTTTTCTTAACAAAATATGTCTATGTTATGTCATCAAATTTGTATTGTTTAGTTATATGTATAAATCTATAAGAATTATCATATGTAGTGTCGGTTACTGTGTTAAACTCATATAACTTATTCTCGCTTTCAGACAGGCCAATCTATTCATTCTACTTGAGTAACATTATAACCTTGTTAATTATTCAACTATCAACCTTGACTTTTTTATATTTGCGCGTAGGTGTGTGTACACTTCTTATCCCATTACTCATCACATGTCTGTAACTTATTTTTGTATGCCTATAAATATTGATTAACGCTTGACTAAAGAGGAGTTGGCTTACCTGCCATCTCCACTGAGGGTCGTTTCGCTACGCTCTATTCCATTCGCTTCATATACAAAATATCTGTATTCAAAAGTCCATTCTCCTTATCTGACTTATTTAATTCTGTTATTGATTAAGTCGATGATAATATACGAGGATAGGCGACATATATATTTCAATAACAATCATTCATACGATCTCACTGGAGTCAGATCCCGGGTCAATAAAGTGAAGAGCCATACAACAAAAATCATCCGATCTAAATGACCACAAAATAAAGGGCCCCACTAAAGTGATGAGCCCTATGCAATCCAAACACGCAACCTTCTGATATGAAGTCGGATTTTGGGCCACTAAAGTGGAGATCCCGCCGAACACATCGTGCAGTCTAATTGATATTAAACGGTAGGGCCCCACTAAACATTTACGTTCAAATAAACTATTTGTGTCAACATTGGAATTGAAACTTACAATCTTGTAAAACAATGTTATTTCCGTGTAAATTTGAAATAAATTTATTATAATCAACTTCAGTAAGACATGCTGTAATCTTAAACCTGTAAAAGTATCCGTATATTGTTACATTCTTTTCTTCTAAGTACTGAACATTTAATATTTTGATAAGTGGTCAGTAGTATAGTAGTTATGTAAGAATCAAGAGACGAATGTTGAGAATAAGTAAAATACAAAAAAAAATAGAAATACGAAAAAAGTTTATCAAAGTTCTACTACAAACTCCCCAATACCGATAACTAAGGTAGCGCGAGTGGTTGTACAAACGTCTTTCGTATGCAAAAGTTAGGTTTGTGAATATGAATTGCAATGACTTCAGTAATGTGCAAAAGAAGTACTCGTGAACCATGTGGCAAATTTGATGGATTATGGTGGATAACCTTAAAAGATTGATTCAGTTCAACTTAATGACCTATGTTCACCAAGTGAGCGAGAATAGAACTCTTAATTACTCTTACCTATCCTTTGATCAACCATGACGGATGGTGTTTTAATATACGATGACGAAAAATACTTAAGTTGTTCATTTCATATCCAGTTTAATTACCTACATTAGACCATTTTTTCATTTAATATGCTCAAAATTAATTAGTGATTCACTTAGAATTTTAAGAAAATGTTGAATAATAATGATTTCCATTTAATTAACAACTAATTATGCACATTTTTCAGGGGTTTTTTTCAACTAAAGTATTATAAGTTACTATTAGTTTCAGTATAAAACTATGAAAATTGTATAGTTTGTTTGTGTTTTTCGTTTAAAATAAGCAACTAACAAATACACTTGAACAGTTTGTATCATGTAAGAAGTTGACATGTTTCATTATGTTGTCATAGTAACATGTGACAACGTTTTATAATAGTTCTAATAACTTTACTAGAATTTGATTGTGAAATTTTCTTAGACATTACCAAAAAAGAAACAACAACGAATTTTGTTGATCGATTTTATTTCTGAGTATAATTGATTCAATCCTGGTGAGTGGACTATGTTCCTCTACGATGGGTAACACGACTAAGTAAGTAAGTAAGTAATTAAGTAGTAATTGGTGCAGTCAGACAAGTAGAACTAGTTTGATAATTTAATAAAGTTGAAGAATGTAACTTAAGGATATTGTGGTATAGTTATTTTCAATATAATTGAATTATTTAATATTACAGTTCATAATTCATGATAATTTTGTGTATTAGGTGGTAAATATTCAATGAATATAATTCATGTTGACAGTAAACTCATTTGAAAGTGGGTCATATAATGAAATGACATTGATTGTTATTTGATAATAACCTACTCAAACATTAGGGTCATCTGTTTTATAACTATGTGAATAACATAAAAATATTTCCTGTTTTAGATATGTTTGAACTGAATCATTTGGAATGTTAACTCTATCTACCTAAACGTTATTACAGAAGACAAATAGATAATTATAATCTTAACTCCTGAAAAAAATCGTAATAGATACACGGTGTTTGTTGGGATATTTTCTTTCTTGTGTATCTTTTGAGGAAATGAGAGATCAATAGGTTGAAATTCATGTATCTTATTTGTATTGCATCAGAAGAAAAAGTAGTTCTAGCGGATGAACTAGTATAAAACTGTAGTGGCTGTGCTTCGTTGACCAATTACCCTCGTAACCATTATCATATAATCCTCGACGGTGTTTGAGATCAGAAGGCAAAGAGAAGCAGCGACTACAGGTTTTATTAGCAGATAACACAGACCACAAAGCAGAGAGGCAAATGAATGAGTCAGAGAACCGAGAGTGTGTTGAGTGTAAATGCAATAAAGAAGACAAAGACTGGTGATAATTGAAAATCATTTTCACTTTTCAAACACATGACCATAATTTTATTAACCAAATACGCTGACTGGCATATTCCCGATCGAAGCTGCTACCTTGACGCGGTGGTCGGGCTTGCCTATCGTGATGACCCAACCGAGCTATATTGGCTGGAACATATGTTCCTGCAGGTTCTACCATGCCAGGCAGGTCGATTGGCGAACGCTAAGACTAAAAGCAGCAACTCAAGGTCTGAGGGCGAAGTCGTACTGCTGACTGTAGAGAGGTGTGACAGCAGTAAGGTGTTTCCTTCGGACAACCAGCATCTGCGGCGATGCTGCCTTCTCATAAGGAAGGAAGGGGTTAGAAAAGGTTGACCCTAAAAGTGTCGCACCTCACCCTACCCCACGGATTTGCGTCTCCGGCGGTAAGGCCCTTTGAAGAACGGAGCTAACACGTCAAAAACCTTCCACAAAAAGGCCGTGCGCGACCGGCCTCAAGCAGTTGTCCCTTGGGCTCTGCGGTCACGCTCCCGGGTCGTCAAAACCAACACCAATCCAATTTCCTTTTCAGGTTCCTCAAGAAATACCCTTCCACGGTGTGGGCAGCCGGGAAGTGACATCAGCCCTCATACCCGTAACAGCACAAGAGACCAAGGTGGTCACATTCAAATCTTTCCTACACCTCCTAATACCTCTCTTATCTCCCCGACTAACCCTCCTCACGTCTCTTTATCACCTCGCACCGCTAGGGCAAACGATTTGGGTACGCGTAACGTTATTCCTGGTCTCCTGAAACCACGCTCTAAACTACACGTATTAGCTTTCAACGTCCGAATACTGTGACAAATAGAACAACAGGCTTCCTTAGCTAGGACTTTAGAATCTCGCGCCATCGATGTGTGCTGCGTCTCTGAAACGCGCATACAGGATCCAAGTAGCGTCATTCATTTGACCTCACCATGCCAAAATAAAGAACCGACTCGACTTACGCTTCGTGTATCTGAAAGCCCTGATTCTGCTTCCCGTGGCCTCGCCGGCGTAGGTATAGCATTGAGTCCTAGGGCAGAACTAGCTCTCTTAGAGTGGATCCCAGTAGACAGTCGTTTGTGCGCTGTCCGACTAAACGGAACAGTGAGGATCCGGAAAGATAGGGACACTCGTCGTTGCCTCTTCGTCGTCTCTGCCTATTCTCCCACTGACTGCAGCTCAGATGATGTAAAAGATGAGTTTTACAGAAAGCTTTCGGACCTTCTCCGAAAAGCTAAGAGCTCGGATGTAGTAATAATGGCCGGTGACTTTAATGGTCAAGTAGGTAAACTAAGCGATAAGGAAAGACACCTAGGTGGATCTTATGGTGTCATGGCTCAAAGAACAGATAATGGCGACCGTCTGTTGCAGCCATGCCCAGATAACCGCCTGTTCCTTGCAAATACTAACTTTAAGCATAAGGAAAAACATCTTTTAACATGGCGACCCCCTAATTCGTCCCAACGTTGGACCCAAATAGGTCACATCGCTATCAGCCACCGATGGAGGGGCTCGATAAAGACTGTCGCTCATTCTGGAGCACATGCCTAGATTCAGATCATGCTCTAGTGCGAGCGCGTATTTGCTTGCGTCTTACTGGACGTAGGAAAGATGCTGCTAGGAAACCTCTTAGGGGCCTACTTAATGATAGTCAAGCTAAGAGCATATTTCAGGAACAACTAGGAAAACAGTTAGGCAGCCATGTATGTGATGCCCACCCCGATGCAGCATGGAATGATATCCGAAAAGCTGTGGAAACAGCAGTGATATCTGCTAGTAAGGTAAACCAGAAGGTTAGGGAGCAACACTGGATCTCAGCAGCATCTAACTCACTGATAAATGCTCGGAAACTCATTCCACTTGGCTCTGAACATAATGAAGAGCGGAGTCAGCTTAAGCGCAAGCTGACAAGAAGTTTACGCAATGATCGCGGACAGTGGTGGGTAGCGAAAGCAAGAGAGATGGAAAAGGCAGCGGCAATAGGTAATAGCAGACAATTGTTCAGACTCGTTAAGGAAACCGGAATTAGGAACCCGACCGTCAGCGAAACAATCTCAGAGAGATGGACATATTATTAATTCTCAATCCAGGAGATTGGATCGATGGGCAGAACACTTTAGGGATCAGTTCAACTGGCCTTCAGCCACACTTCGGTTTCCCACGATCTCCAGTCAACCTGAATGGCAAGTTAATGTAGGTCCTCCGTCCCTTTACGAAGTTGAAAAAGCCATAAGAAATCTGAAACGAGGGAGAGCAGCAGGCCCTGACAGGTTTACTCCTGAGATTTTTAAGGATGGTGGTCTAGTATTAGCAATGAGATTAACCGAGGTCTTAGGTAGAATTTGGGAACTGGACGTAATCCCATCTGACTGGTCTCAATCACTGATTGTGCCAGTCTATAAGAAAGGACAAAACTCCTCTTATGACAATCACAGAGGAATCAGTTTGACTAATATAGTGTCTAAAATATTAGCTTCAATAATACTTCGACGCTTAACTAAAGCTCGTGAAGAGCAGACTAGAAAAAACCAGTCTGGTTTTCGACCTGGACGTGGTTGTATAGATCAGATATTCACACTACGTCAGGTCCTAGAACACAGCCACACATTCAGACGCCCCACAATGGTAGTATTTCTCGATCTTAAGGAGGCATTTGACTCTGTTGATCGTGAGGTTCTATGGCAGTGTTTGTCAGTGAAAGGAGTACCAAAGAAGTACATTAACCTTATAAAGGCTCTCTACTCGAACACAACTGGTAGAGTGAGAGCTTATGGCGAACTGTCATCAGAATTGATCACCTCAAGTGGTGTTCGTCAGGGCTGTCCACTCTTTTCATTCTTGTTTAACTTTGTCATTGATGTACTTTTAGAGATAACACTTTCCTCATCTAAATTTCCAGGGCTTGAACCTCTACCAGGAGATTCACTTGTTGACTTGGAATATGCCGATGACATAGTTCTATTTGGTGAAGACACTGACAAAATACAGATTCTTCTGACCACTCTAAGCAACAATGCAAGCATGTTCGGGATGCGATTCTCTCCCTCGAAATGCAAAATGTTGCTTCAGGATTGGGTTACATCGACACCCGAACTATTGATAGGGAGTGAAGTAGTTGAGTGTGTCGACCGCTTCACTTATCTTGGAAGTCTCATCAGCCCTTGTGGTTTGGTGTGTGACGAAATCTCAGCACGGATACCGAAGGCTCGACTAGCTTTTACCAGCTTGCGTCATTTATGGCGTAGGCGAGATATCCGTCTATGAACCAAAGGACGTGTTTACTGCGCAGCAGTTCGTCCCGTCCTACTTTATGGCAGTGAAACATGGCCGGTAAGAGTAGAGGATATCCGTAGGTTACTAGTATTTGATCATAGGTGTCTTCGAAACATTGCTCGTATATCATGGGACCATCGAGTAAGTAACACAGTTGTTAGGAAACGGGTACTAGGTAAGGATGGCAAATCAATTGATGACGTAGTGAAACTTCATCAGTTGAGATGGCTGGGACACGTGTTACGTATGCCCAACGACCGACTGCCTCGACGTGCTATGTTCAGTGGTATAGGAATAGGTTGGAAGAAAGCTAGGGGCGGCCAAACCAAAACATGGCACAAGTCCATGAAGTCACTGACAAGTGAACTGAGTCATGTTGGTAGGTGTAGACTACCTGGTTGGGGACCGCGAGATGACAGCAACCGATGGTTAGAGACCCTGAATGACATGGCTCAAAATCGTTTGCAATGGCGCAGGTGCATCCACTCTCTGTGTTCTCCCAAATTCTAGTCGTCTGAATTCTTCATGTCCCTTTTTTCCTCTTTCCAAATTTATTTCACTGGATTATACTCTTTAAATAACATCTCCAAACCCTAATCTTCCCGATTACTGCTTATACTCTTATTACCTCTACCACTACGGGATTTGAATCGACAACTGCATCTCTGTGCTAATGTGGTGTGGCAACTCGAACTGATGTACGTACGTACGAAGTTCTACGTTGTTACTGACTGACTGAATGACTGACTGACTGACTGGCATATTACTGCATGTAAAGGGCGAAATATGAAGTTAACTTATCTGCAATGATGTGGTTCATAAATTGTTGTGAAAGGACATTCATCATAGGTATTACAATAATATGAGGCAACAGTTAAAAGCCATTAATTCTTAGTTGGAAGACTAAAACATTGTATTGATGACTGGATGGCGTATCTAGGGGTATTTCCATGACCAGTAAAGAGTGACTGTTATTATCATTACAGCTGAAGAGGATTCGAATAACTGCTTTTACTTTTTTTAATGGAGCAAGACGTGTGATTCTACATAGGCATTTTAATTACATGGTTTTAGATTCCACAATTGAGTAGATAGTCAAATTAAGATGAAATCGAACTTGAGATTCTTAGATGAACTTACAAGAAAGAAAATCTCTTTGATGAATGTCTGAAGCATGATAGGTATGTATGTTAATGCACGCATATCATAGATTTCAAAACTGCATGAAGAAACAATTACAACTTTTAAGTAATGTATAAATATAATGTATACAGATGTTAAAGGTAGTCGTTGTTAATTTTGGATAACATTACGTGTGGTACAAGGTTTGTAAATGAAGTGTTCCGAAATAAATTCATGGATTTATATTAGAGTTCTTCACATCCCTGCTGTTATCTTTTCTATACCGATATAAAGAAATTTCACAATGAACGACAGACAATGGCCTCATCTTCGCTATCTATTAAACTAACTCTCAATAACATACAGTGAAAGGCTAATGTTCACTGACTTGGATACATTAGATATCTCATTTACTGAATGTAATGTTAGATTAAATTCATTTTTACTCATGAAGAATAATCATATAATAATTGTACAAAACTTTCTGCTAACACTAACATCAACCAAGTTATCATTTTTCAACAGTAAATCCATGAATAACAACTTTTCATCGATACAGACCAATAAATTATTATTTATATCTATCCCACCCCTTAATTATTAAGATAAACTGATTATTGGTTCTTCACTAAATATCAAATCTTTCACGTGACAACCGAAACAGTACAGCTCAATCCCATTTAACAGGAGAGCCAAACACCGCACAGGCTTAAATTTTATAATTCGAGAAGTACAGCTCAATCCTGCTTCACAGGAGAACCAGGCTTTAGCGTTACAATCTGAATAGTACTGCTCAATCCTGTGGCGCAACCACACAAGTACCAAGCACCCTGGTGGACCAAATAAAGCAAACACTTAACTCTATTAATCACGAGAAACAGTTGTTATTATTCGGTTTTATATTATTGAAAAGAAAACGTCAACATTCCATATTATTTACATGAATCATTTACTATTAGAAATGTTCAAATGGTTTTAATTTAATCTTATATTCATTCTTTTATTTCTTCAATCTGTTAAGTATGTTGGTGTAATGAATTACGTAATGGAAATGAAGTAAAAAATACAGTTTTTTCGTTTTTAAATGTTAGTTATAAAAACGTTTTGTAGATAGACTATATTACTGATTGACGTTAAACAGATAATCAGTAAAAAAAAAGTCAGGGAACATTAACAATTATTGCTTCTTAGCAAACAACTCCTAAAGTGTATGCATCAACAACTTAGGAACTTTTGACCTTAAAGTGAGTACATATGTTCATTAATAACTAAATTTGAAGTAAATATTGGGAAATCTGGTGAAAATTTGTGATCGCTAAAGCTTAAAGAAATAAGGAATGAGACAGCGGATAATTTAGTGGGGCTCTTTATTTTTTTATCATTTAGATTGGACAATTTTGTCAACGAGCTCACTACTTTAATGGCCCAGGATCTGACTCCAGTGAGATCGTTTCTGATTACTATTGAGATATAGATATCGTCAATCCTTGCATATTATTATCGACTTAACTCGTGTTAGTGGATAACGGAATTAAACAAACCAAATACGAGAATGGATTTTGAGTGTGTATATTTCATGCACTCATTGATTTGAACAGGCAATCGAGGAATGGAGCGAAGAGAAAATAGCGAAGCGAAACGATCAAACAATGGAGAAGGCATGTAAGCCAACTCCATTTGATCAAGCATCAATCAATATTTATAGTCACACAAAATTAAGCTACAGACATGTTGTGAGTAGTATAAGAAGGGCACACACATAGGCGTTCATATAAAAAACAATCAGGGTTGATAGTTGAATAATTACCAAGCTCAAAACGTGACTCAAGAAGGATGGATAAATAGGCCTTGTCCGAAAGCGAGAATAAGTTTTATATGGGCAAAACATAATAACCGATACCACAATAAGCATTTATGCAATATTGTGGACTAACCGAAGTTGAAAATGTAAAACATTAGATACCAATTTAGTGGTTTAAAGTTAACCATCCATATTAAAAATTATAATATTAATAATAAAATTAGCCTAAGTTATACTATAGGTGGTGGGATCAGATCAACACTATTTATGAAAAACCCTTTATCAGGAAAACAATTTCATAAGTAATTTTAAGAATTCGTTTACTATTCATAATTAATGTAAAATATTATCAGAATGGGAGGAGCCCCATACCAGGACGAAACGGCCGTCCAGTGCTTCCAGGTTTTCCATGGTGGTCTACCTTCAATTGACTCATGATTTCAACCTGTAAAATATTATCTTACTTTTTGATATGATGGAAAGAAAAGTCAAAATTAGATTGATTTACTCATTATGAATTTAGTTCAAGACTACTTCCGTTTTAAATCAATGTAGTATTTGTTTTATTCTGTCGTTTGATATTTTATCCTACATAGTATACGATATTCTTGTATTCCATTGACATGAACTATGCTCTATATGTGATTTGTTATAACTCTAAGTATCTTTCATATATGTGATTTCATCCTAATTATTAATCAAAGTATATGTACAATCAATATATAAGTGAATGTATTTTCGACTAGGGTCGTTATTATTGTGTTTGGGGTTAATAAATCTTCACTTATACCAGTCTTTGTGTTCTTACTTTCGCGTCAAGGGAATTGCGGAGGTCCCTTGTTCCGAGTATAAGTGATAAGCGTTTCCGACATAACAATCAGTGAGGACCAGATACAAAAAGTAGCATTAAAAGAGCCAAGACAATAAGCATTCAAACGACAAATTATAACACTTTTATTTTCAAAGAATAAATTCTGAAAGTTCAATCAATAAAACCATTTTATCAACTTTTTGTATCCTGTTGATGTAGACGAACGAAGAGATTCTGAATCCTGTTACTTCTATCAGTATTTATAAGTCTTGTAATAGCAACTATATAAGTAAAACGAATAAGTCATTTCGCACATTTTCGAAGACTGTTCAAAGTAATGAGATAACTTACTTAATAAATCTGTCAAAAGTTTAATTCCATTTCATTTTGTTCATATGGAGCACATAAGTGATAAAACTGTGCTGTTTATAATCATCTATAGAGTCCCAATAAAGTATCTCAGGTTTGATCATCTCCGTTTTTACAGTTAGTAAAGGTTATTGACATTAGGACTTTGTCAACTAAATAAACCTATGAAATAATCATTCTTTCAGTCTTTTGCCTGTTAAGGGCATCATAAATACTTACTTCCTTACGCCTGTTACCCCCAATGGAGCATAGGCCGCCGACTAGCATTCTCCTAACCACTCTGTCATGGGCCTTCCTTTCTAATTCCATCCAGTTGTTGTTCATTCTTCTCATGTCTGTCTCCATTTCTCGACGTAATGTGTTTGTAGTGACTCACATTTATCACGAGAACACGACTGGTTTAATAAAAACAATTATTATTATAACCAACTGTACCAGTGTTTGTTTTAACGTGCTTTTGTTTGACTGTGCTAATGACAGCTATTTTGTGCTTCCATTCTTATACTTACACTTCGATTGTAACTTCGCGCGAATTCGGTTACCTTCTGTAACCAAGCTTGTATCCTGGCACGATCTCGGTATCCTTTCGATGCCACGAGATCGCCAGCAAATAAACATCGACTTGGTCCATTAATTGCCTTCTGGTATTCGGCTTCTCGGGGATTGTATGGAGTCATTTGAAACGAGCTTCTTACGCCTTCTGATCTAATTGGCACGTATTTCTTGGTAGCGGTGTTCACAGTTAATCTCAACTCGACGCCACGCTACAATTGGTAATCCCAATCCGAATACATGTTCTTTGGTCTTTCTTTCCTCCTCCTTTGGCCTTGAGGATTCCAAGTAAGGGCTTGTCTTGTGACGCAGTTGAGCGCTTTCCTCATTGTATGTCCTATCCACTTCCAGCATTTCTTCCTGATTTCTTCCTCCTCTGGAATCTGGTTTGTTCTCTCCCACAGTAGGTCATTGTTGATTGTGTCTGGTCAACAGATCCGAAGTATTTTGCGTAGACAACTGTTAATAAACACTTTTATCATCTGGATGATGGCTTTTGTAGTCCTCAAGTTTCCGCCCTATACAGTAGAACTGTGTTGACATTTGTATTGAAAATTTTGAGTTTGATGTTGGTTGACAGTTGTTTTGAGTTCCAGATGTTCTTCAGTTGTAAATATTCTGTATCACCTACCTCTTGATTATAACAGTATTATAATGTCCACTGTAATTATCGATATACATTTAACTAGTCTAATGAAGAATTTATTAGAAACAATTTTTTTTCACTCAAATACTTGCTGACTTCAAAAACTCCATCAAGATTCTTTAAACCACTTCAATCAAATTAGATCCATAAATCGTGGGATTTTTGGACTTCGAAAAAACTCACTTATTCTATGCGCTCATGTTTTGTTAGAAAAGTCAAGATTGTTTTACCTCTTATGTTAAAAAAAAATGGAAACTGACTAGACTGAAATCAATCAATCTCCATACATAAAATTCACTTGGAATAACAACTCGAAATATTTCTTTCTCCTGTATTATATAATAATGAAATATAACGTTGCTAAGGCAATAACAATTATATAATGACTTTTTTTTTCAAATTATAATGAACATTACATTAAAAAAATATACCATCTATAATAATACACACATTAATACGAGTATCAAATTTGTTTTTATTCTTTTAATCCTGTGACCACAAAGCAACCAATAGAGTTGGTTACTAACATTGATCATAACCAATAGGAATTGAATAGAAAGATAAGAGTAAATAATAGGTGAAATATAATATTATTATAATTATCATCAAATTGAGTAATCATATTCATTTAAACATTATTCATACATTAACTTGGATTTCTTAATAGAAAGAAATAATACAATCCATATTTCATATATCTATTTTATTATTATTATTATGAATCAAACAAGTAATAAAAGAAGAATATGTCTTCCAGTAGATGGAAGTGATCATTCTAAACGTGCAATTGAATGGTTTATTAAAGAAGTTTATCGACCTGGTGATGAAGTACTATTTGTACATTGTTTAGAATTACCATATTTACCAACAATTAGTTTAACATCTGGTTTAAAAGTACCTATCGATGATTGGACTAAAGCACTACAAGAAAAGTAAGTTATTTTCTTCTTCATTAATGTGTACATTTTATATCGGTAAAAGATTCAAATAAACTTCTTATTTTGCTATAATATTGAATAATTTGAAACTAAATGAGATTATTATATATATATAAATCTGTTCCTGGATACTGATATTTCTTTTTGACAATATTTGGCCTCCGAATACCCTGGTACGGCTGAGGGTGAGGAGAGTCCGTTCTCTCTCTCGAAATGCTCTCATATGGCCACATGTATACAGTTACTGCCAGAGAAGTTCTACTAACTACTTTCTCGTGGCAGGAATGTTGTGTACGAAATCGAGAGGACGAAAAGCGAATGTCCGGTGCTTTAACCACGTTGATGGATATGGAGGATCTAACTAGGAGAGTTGCAAAACCCCGACTCCGTACCACCGGTGCACATGAGCTCCAGGATCCTGAAGGAATAAATCGCGTATGAACCAATTGTTGGTGACCGTCGATTATAGGACTGCATCTCCTGACGTTGATCCATTGCCTTGTGGATCAGACCTTTAGGTCAAAGGCTCTGTGTGTGGTCCCCTAAGGAAACCACTTGTTTCGGTCTGGGCACCCGGGCAGTATCATAGCCCATACATAAATCAAGTGACTTTTGTGGTGCATCTATTTCCAGTACCCCTTTGTACCAATATTTATGTGTTCAAATAAATAAATGTCACCTAACACATATAAAATTATAGTGATAATACAAACTACTTTGTGATATGTATGTATAATCAATATCTTATGTTCTAATACACAAGAAATGAATAATATGACATTATATACTTTTCTATGATACACAATATTCTATTCAATAGAATTTAATGATTAGTTTAAAGAAATCATAAAATCATTAACAAGTAATGAAGCTTAGTTCAATCCGATCATAAAATACCATACCATAAATGATCCAAAAACTATATGAATGACCAGGTTTTGAATTATGAACTATCCTTTAAATAAAGTTAAAAAAAGGAAACTGCCATTAGATCTTATCCTTAATTAATTATGGACAAGATTACATTTCTGATGATTCATTAATATTTAATGAGTTGATTCAATGTACATTCTAAACAAAATGTACTATGTTTTGTGACGTTAACCAATGGAGTTCATCTGGGTCTATTGTGAGATACTAACACATTGAAGACAATTGTGGACGGTGGCGCAATTTTGTGAATTGGTTAAAGTTAGACATTAACGTGGTTGGATGCCGGCCGTCTCAGTGGTCTAGAGGTTAAGCGTTCGTGCGCGCGAGACTGACAGGTCCTGGGTTTGAATCTCGTGAGGCGGGGCCGTGGACGCACAATGTTAAGGAGTCCTATACTAGGACGAAACGTGTATCCAGTGCTTTCAGGTTTTCAATTGCGGTCTTACATTCATCCACCACCAATTTTTGAATACTTAAATTCTTAGTTGACGTATTTATCATAGATTAACTCACGAACTGATTATAGCTAGACTGTCATTGAAAACCAGAAACACTAGACAGTTGTTTCAGCTTGGCTTTGGACCACTCAGCAGTGTGCATCCACGACTCAGTCATAGGGAATCAAACTCGGGGCATTCAAGTCTCATAAGTGAAAGCTTAAAGTCTAAACAACTGATCCGGCATCCAGTGGTATATATTTCTGACTAAAATCAATCTATGATATTGTGCACCCATCTTTCGTTGTCGTCAGTGAGTTACTTCCACATATCCGATACATATTAACTTTATTGGTTACGGCAACTTACTAAGACTCCAAGAGGAGGCTAGTCACTAGTGAGCACATGATTATTATTATCATAGATGTTTGTGAATATTTTACCATTTTTATGGTTGTAGTCACGAACTGATCTTAGCTAGTTAGTAATGTAAGCTGGTGAGGAGTCCCCTACTAGAGCAAACAACTTTCCAGGTTTCCAATACATGATGTAAATAAGATAAGTGAGTGGCTTAAACTGTAATACTTTCACAATCTCCACAAATCCCCTATACCACTTATACAATTATCAAAATAAGATACAGGAAAGACAATAACAGATTACAGTTTTTAAGTCTCAGTAACTACATAACCAAACTACTTTTTGATGCACAATTTAAAAGAGATTGTTATATTGATTGACGATAATTTTATGTACCAGAAGGGGTTTTGTGGAGATTGTAGTAATTTCAATAGTTGAGATCATGAGTTAATTGAAGCTAGACCACCATGGAAAACCTGCAAGCATTGGATGGCCATTTCGTCCTATTGTGTGACTCCTCAGCAGCGCGCATCTATATTACTATCTCCTATCTTATTTCTAACATTTAAGAATGAAACATTTTAGTCTTTTGACTTTTGAATTAATGTTAACAAACTATTTAATTTGAAATTAATTCTTCTGTATGAAAAATATAGTTGGTTTATAGAAAACAGAATATCGATGGTAATTTAATGGCCTGGAATCTGACTCCAGTTGGATTGTATGATTGATCATTATTGAGATATACATGTCGAAATAGATATCGTCAATTCTCGTATATAATCATCGACTTAACTGGAGTTAGTGTATGATAGAATTGAATAACTAAAATATGAAAATGAATTTCGAATGTGCATATTTCATTAAATCGTTGATCTGAACAAAGAAACTATCGGAGATTCGAAGCGAAACGACGTGCAGTGGAGAAGGCATGTAAGCCAACTCCATTTAATCAATCGTTAATGAATATTAATAGCCAGATAAAAATAAGTTACAAACATGTGATCAATAGGATAAAAAGCGTGCACATATACGCTCATATAAAAACAATCAGGGTTGATAAGTGAATAATTAGCAAGGTCAATAAGTGACTCAAGAAAAATGGATAAATAGGCCTGTCTAGAAACTAGGATAAGTTATATGGGTTTAACATAATAGCCAACACTACAGTAATGTAGAAAAAATTTAGAGAATTAAATTGAAGGTTTGAATGTTAGATGACTTATCTAAGTTAAATATTATATGATTTTATTGTAATGTACATATATAAGATCATGTAAGCATTAGATGAGATCCAACATATACATATAAACAACTGGTGATATCAGTTTAATGTGTACATAGTCTACGTTATGGATTCACTTGGTAATTAATAACCGATGGAATACAGTCGTGTCAAGATCAAGATCAAGACAGATATGATCATAAACGGTACCGAATGATAATTGAATTATATTTTGAAGTGACTAAATTCAGAAATACTAATCATTTAGCTTTGAGTCAGTAATAAAGAACATGATGCATTCATAATGACAACTTATCAACTAGATTTTCCTTTGTGGCTTGTGGTGACAATAGACGTTAGGTAATACTGTTATATTTCTGTTTTAACTGACAAATGGAAAAGAAGAAAAATCTAAAACAAATGATGAAATAATGAATCAAATTAGACTGCAGTGTATTATTTTGTGGGAAGTGATGAGGAAAATCAGTCTTACTATATTTTATAACTAGACTGTTGAACTACTATAGTATAAATCATTGTTAGAAACATTAGACCAACATTTTCGCACATGTTTTAGTTTATATTTTATTGAGTGTTTCCAGCAAGATCATCCTTTAGTTTCAGTATATCTTTCAAATTGTCCAATTTTTAAAGTAGTTTGGATATCTATATAAATTATTGTCTATTGAAGCAACCGAAATTATACGTTGAGGCAACTTATACTTCAAGGAAGAATTCATTCCTAGTACCACAAGTTATTTGTTAGATCCTGTGAGGTAGTATTTGATTCTTATATTATGTAATTGACTATTAACTAATAGAGATTTGAAATGCTTGTTGATGAGCTATTTGGGATAATGATGAAGCATTCATTGTCATTCTGTATCACATCTTCGGTGCTTGCTCTTAATTTATACAAACTGATTCTTAACACTAAACATGGTGTACAGCAAATAGCAGTGAAATGATAAAATGTAATAAGCAGATAGACTGATGACTTGAGTATGAAATTTGTCATAAGGTGTCTCATAATTTCAAAAAAAACCCTGTTAGAATAAGAAACCTATGAGTGAATTCAAAGAGAATATCACATGAGTGACCGATTACATGAGAGACCGATTATCATGATCGCTAAAAATGGTTGTCGAACTGGACTTTAATGTGTCTTCTCTTCGTTGGTACCTGAAAGGTTCTTTCAGATTGCTATTTTGATTTCATGTTTCTTTAAGTGAATCTGGGAAGGTAGTTAAACTGATACAGTTTTGATCTTGTAGAGCAGTCCACGTAGACCTCAGAAATATGCTCTATACAAACGCATCTACCATTCGAAGCTGTAAAAAACCAAATATCAAACATTTGACTTTATTCTTAAACAACAACTAAAGGTAGATTATATTATAGTACAATAAATAAGTGAGCTATTTGCAAAGTTATGACTACAGTTTTAGGTAAACAAGAAATAAACTAATCGATGAAGCCTTGAATTTACATGGAAACGGCCTATACCAACATAGATTGCTTTCTCTTCTATGAAATCCTGAGTTTTAATGTTGCTTAACATCTCATATTCTTCAGTTTTAACCATTCATTTTAAAAACAAATATTTTGTAATGATTATGTGGTGCTTATTATTTATATCTGTCAGTTTGGAGACCATATGTAGCTTAGGTTGGTGAGTTTGATTGTGTTATGTTCAAGTGGATCAAATAGCTAAAGTTCACCGTCGTATTCAACAGAATCATCATCAGCGCTTCCTTCAAACTCGTATATATATAATACTTTCATTTGTCTTTACCTTTCATTAACACTGAGATTAATTCATATAATCAAAATGAAGTATTTTAATGTTCAGACTAAACTAATAACATAAATATTCAACAAAATTTGTTTTGATGACTGATGATATACTACCGACTGTTACAATGAATGTATGTTTAAACTTACATTAACCTATTATGTTGATCTTAGATTTCTATTGTCATTGTAATTTAATTAAGATTTTAATTATTTTATTGAAAAAAACAAAACATGGTTCAATA